CCAGCATGGGCTGAGAAGCACGGCCCTTTCTCACTCTGCCGCCCAGTCTTCAGTTGAGAAGCTCTCCTGTAATCAACTGAGTTCGACAGCGAATACAAAGCGTTGTACCCTGCGGCGCCCTTGCAACCCGCGCTTTATACCTGGCTAACTACGGGCTCCAGACGGATCCAGGCCCAGAGACCGCACCGCATCGTTGTCGGCACTATCTCCAAATCTGCCGTGACGGGGGAGCTATGCCCCACCTTGCTCACTCTTTGCCCTCACTCCCTCGCTGTGCCTCACACATGGCCGGGGCCTTGGGGGGTGAGGGCCCAGCACAATGCAATGTCGTGCGCTCGTGCCCTCTGATAAATCTTGGCTCGTTCATTCGTCTTGATTTCTAACATCTCCACGAGAGCCTCCGGATCGATTTTTGATATTGCCCGTCCGGGGGGGCTCATGCTCTCGTCTTGTTAATTTATTCCTTCTAATCCTCTCATTCTTTTGCTTCGGGCGACGGCTGCCCACCTTCTGTTGTGTACCACCGACAAATGGCCACTGGCAGATGCGAACAGTAACCAGCCAGCCAACTTCCCAGAAAGGCGACCAGTCATGCTCAGCAGCTCAAGCCCATTCAACAGGAACTCATTGAAAAGTCGACTCTGGACGAGATGAGATGATCTGGTCCAGAGATGAGCCGGGATGACTACACTCCACGGGGCCTATCCGACCCGGAGTCCCATCTTGATCTTGCCGGCCAACGTCAGCGACCTCAGGTTGATACAGGCACTGGGTCGGAGGCAGTTGCACCGTCACCAAATCATCAAGGTCGACATGTTACTCTCAATGCCATTGTCGAGGTCGATATGCTGCGGCACAAACTTCGTGCCCTCGAAAATCTTGTCGAACGTTACGGTACGCTCTGTTCCGCTTTTCATCACTTTGGAGCGCTGTCACCAAGATTTTTGTCTTCCACAGTCTGTGGTGAATATACCGAGTCATATCTAATTCTCCCTTGTGTAGGCATCTCATCACACATACCCTCTCTTTCTGAAGCTGAAGAGGCCCGGGCACTCCAGTACCGTTGTGAATGCCTCGAAGCTGCATGTATGCAACAGAGTAAGTGAAGAACCTCGTTGTGCATGGTCTATCTTGCAACCTCCTGTAGAGTATCTGATATGGGTAGAACTAACAGTATAGACATGGACGTTGCCCGCGCTTTAAAAGGCTCATCTCCATTTCCATCACCTCTAGAATATACATCATGGCTCGATCATCATCTTGCGCATCATGATCGAGTAACACACTCTTTCCCCTCAGCGGCTTCTTCTTCTATTACGAACTTCTCGAGGGCACCCTTTAAGTGTTGGGACGAGCAATGCATCCACTATGTCTATGGATTCTCGACGCATCTGGAACGGGACAACCACCTTCGACTGCACTTGACGAAGAATGCAGGTAAATCTGGATCATTTGTGCCAGCCCAGAGCTCTTCCAATGTTTCCGAAATACCAGAGACAGGCAGCGGTGCTCTGCCTCGGGACCGGTTGCCGCCTATTCAACCCCCAACCACACTCGTAACGACTAATCTCCCTCCTCTACCATTCCCGACACCCTCAACCGCCTCAACTGCGACAACAAGAAGGGACCACAGTTCAAGCTTCTCTTTCTCGGACCCCAAAACTGCGCTGTCAAGAAGCGGCGAAGAAACCACATCTGACCCACAGCTGCCTCCTCTCAAAAGAGCTCGCGTCGGACATGATCGTCTGAAGTCGATAGGGGAGCTGAAGCTACTCCACAACAATGACCCGTGTCTTCGATGTCGAGCTTCGAACAGACCTGTAGGTCACACCATTATCCGCTGAGTGACCTTAAGTGCTTACCATTCTAGTGTGATGCAAACAACCCCTGTTCCCGATGTTCGGGGATGCCGTCATCCGAGTCCGAGGCACATTGGAGTATCTTGGGATGTTATCGTGGATCAGTGACCTCTCTTGTTGATGTTTTACTTCAAGGTACCAGCCATTCTTTTTCCAGCTTTCCGCTTTAGCTAACCCTTAATAGGATCGTTCGCCTGGTCACAACCTCAAACACCGCTAACACCCTCTTATCCTCGGCGAGGGAGCATCAACGATCAAATACTCGCCCAGAACCCCACTTTGTCGGCCGTAAAAAGGCCTGCCTGGAGGCTTGATTTTCAGGATACTTTTTGGTGGCAGGATGGAGAGCCTGGCCTTGACGAGCGTATTAACCAGCCTCTAGGTCCTGGGTACCACGATCAAGGGACAGCGCCACCTGTCCTGCAGCTCATTGCTTCTAGCCCAAGTTTCCGGGGTGCTGCCTTTGATCTTCTGGAGCTGTTGAGTGCCAGCGGCCAACTTTCGACGTCCCGGGAAGAGGAGCAAACGACACATCCCTCTCTTTTTCGCGTGAAGCAACTCTTGCGCGAGATCATATTTTACGATACTTCTCAGCCGAGCCAGTTACTACGGAGCGAGGGCACCTATCTTCCGCGCACACCTGTCGATCGTCGCCCGTCTACCGAGCGCAACGTTTCCTTGAGGGAGTGCACACGACGTTACTTGATCTCTCTGGATTTCGCAGCTTCTGTTTTACCTACTATGGGCCTGAGGCAATGGCTAGGGGTATTCATTTCAATCTGCATCTTTAGTGCTGTTAACACCATACTGGTTGACATTGCCTTGTCGTTTCAAGGAAGCGATCCATCACAGGCCAGCACAACACCCACAGAACGACCTGACCAAGTCATCCGAAGTGTCTACCAAGCTTTGGTTTCCATGTTCGCCACTTCAAACGATCTTTTGTCAAATGTGTCTGAGCTCGAAGACCCCATCGCCCGTAACATTGCAAGAATCATCCGTCGAGATCAGTGGCCACCACGGCATTTATTCTCTAGCTTTGATTTTCTTATGAATCTCGGTATGGGGGAAATCCCTAATGCTGGTTTCAACGGCTTTGTTTTGCCCAGAAGGCAATCATTAGATTTAAGGGGCTCGAGGGGTTTCCCCACCGCACAACTAGAGAATACGGCAAGACAGCTTTATCTGAAGTCCACGCCATCCCTTACTCCGGCAGGTCCATCGTCACAATACATACCTGCTGGCTCGCGGTCGGATTTTCCTCTGCCCGGTCAGTTCTCATTGCCAGGTGATGTTGGAGGACGCACCCGCAGACATACGATAGGTGACGATGTGTCACCACGCCTAGAATCCAGGCGACTTTCGGGTGAACCAATCTCTCCGTCCAGGCTAAAACCACCTTCTCGTCGAACTTCTTTACGCCGCGTGTACTGCGACAAGTGTAACGAGCATCCAGATGGCTTCCGTGGTGACCACGAGTTACGCCGCCATATTGATGCCAAACATTCGGCGACGGTTAAGCGATGGGTTTGTAAAGAACCCAAGAACCAAATGCCTTCTGCCCCCCAACCAGTGATTCCACTGTCAAGATGCAAGGCATGCTTGGCACAAAAGCGCTATGGCGCATATTACAACGCTGCTGCACACCTCCGCCGCGCACACTTCCGACCTCATCGAGTGGGTAAAGCTAGTGGTGACTGGCCATCCATGAGTATTTTGAAGGACTGGATGCGAGAAGTGCGCCAATCGGTCGATGTTCCAGAAGAGCATATCTCCAGCGGTGAAGACGACATGGATGAGTATCCAACACCCGCTGACTACAGAGATCCGATACCACAACAAGTGCCCGCGATTCCTGATGCATTACCAGCAATTTCTGCCTTGGGTCCATTACTTTCGTCGAGTTCTATCGAACCATCAATACCAATCGAACGAGCAAGTCCGTCTCGAAGGCCTACTGAAAATCGTACCAGGTGCCCTCATCCGGATTGTGGTCGTGAGTTTCGTGACCTGGCTTCTCACATGCTTACACACCAAGAAGAGCGGCCTGAAAAATGCCCCATTGTAACATGCGAGTACCACACGAAAGGATTCGCGCGCAAGTACGATAAGAACCGCCACGCTCTTACTCATTATCGTGGAACGATGGTATGCCCATTCTGTCCAGGTGTTGGCAGCCCCTTCGAAAAAGTCTTCACTCGTGCCGACGTCTTCAAACGGCACCTTACTGCTGCCCATCAAGTTGACCAGACAGGCCACAGCAGCGGCCACCGGCTACCAGGGGGCGATGATCCTGTAGGCACAAAGGCAAGGTGCTCCATATGCAAGAACGGGTTTGGTACCGCGCAAGACTTCTATGAACATCTAGATGACTGTGTGCTTGGCGTAATTGTGCCAACTACAAATACATCAAGTCAGCCAACCCGGCTGCAAGGATCTCCCCCATAACACTTGACCGCAAAATGGGCTGTATAATTGACAGGACTACTACGATGTCCGATGAAAACTGAACGAACGAGACGGCTGGGATTATATTGAACGATAGGGGCAGTGAAGCGATTCTTTATTCTTCATCTACTACTACTACTACTACTTCTTCTTTTTCCGCTCTTCCTTCTTCCCTTTTGTTATTTTTAGCATCATCAAGAGTATGTGCCTGGTGCACCGCAGGAATAAGTTTCGATTCTAGATACCACCAAGAGTTACGGCGGCATTGGTCGCATTTTTGTTTTACTATCAGCATATCCTTTGATCAGGCATTATATGTTTATATTTATATTTTAGTCTAGTGCACAACTTGGAGTTGTAACTGGCCCACTACCGGTACATGTCCTATATGTCACAAAACCTCTTTGATCATTTTCCAGACAAGATATGTGATACGTATCGTGAAAGCCCAAGTCCTGGCTGATATATAATTCATCTGACCCCTCTCCCTTTTCAACATGCATCATAATAATATCCCCCATGTGTATCAAAGTGACATACGCGAACTTTTAAATTTCGAAACCAGGAATGACTAACTAATGATATATTAAATAAACCTAGACGCCAAGATCATGCTATAAACCGCTGACTGCTACAGGATGAAACGTGTGTGACGCAGTGATTCGCTACGAATACGACCATGCTTGGACATGATCACTTTGAATTAGAATCATCGGACGGCACAGCCGTTTTCTCATTAATTGGGTCAACCATGAGAGACTCGTCGCGGCGACCAATGTGCTTGGGGCTAGAGCGCTTGAAGAATTCATGAATCTCTGGCGAGAACTCGCCATCATCGGGCATGGCACCTTCAGTGTCCTTGGGACCGCGGCTGGCCTGGACAAGCTCCCATTCGGTACGCATATCCTGGACCTTGGCCCGCCAATCAGCCTCGGGGTCGTAACTCTTGCCGAGGCCTCGGAATCGCTCCCACAGGGACAAATGAGTAGGGTTGACAGCAACACCGTGGTACTCACTCTCCTTGCCATCCCGAATGTAGTACCAGCGGCGCTCCTGCTCCTTAAGATCAAGACCAGTAGTGTCAGGAAGAAAGATCCATGTCAAGAGCATGCCAGCGAGACCGAACCATGGGACGACGTAGAATTTAGTCTGGTCATCAATGTAGTTGTAAAGGACGGAAGCGAGAAGAGCGCCGGATTTGCCAATGCAGGCGGAGAAGCCGTGGGCAGTAGCACGGATGGGCGTGGGGAATACCTCGCCAGCCACGAGGAAGGTGACCGAGTTGGGACCGAACTGGTTAAAGAAGGACGAGATGAAGTACATGGCCTGGAAAGAATGAATCCCCGCAGGACTGGTGTAATAGTCGAACTTGAAGGCGGGGATAACGAACATCAAGAAGCACATGAAGAAGCCCACTTGCTGCATCATCTTCCGACCGTACATCTTGTTGTCGATGAGAAGGGATGCGAGATAGTAGCCGGCCAGGGAGACGGTGATATTGACCAGGTTCCAGGTCCAAGTAGTGAAAATGGACTTGCTATCAGGAGAGATGACCTTGATGAATTGACCCTGGAAAAGCTTGTTGCCGTAGAAGAAGACATCGTTGCAGAACCAGGTACCAGCAGTAGCAAAGAGACGTCCACCGAAGTTGGTAAAGCAGTGGCGAAGAGCGTTCACGTCATAGCCAGTGACGTTGGAGCGCTTCTTTGCCTCAGCGAGCTGCTTACCAGCGCTGCGCATTCGGTAAGTACGATAGTAGAGTAGCCAGAGCGTACCGATGGCAGGGAATGCAAAGGACAGTCGGAAAGTATACTGGGCAGCTGACTTGCTGTAGGGAGGCGAACTCTTTCCGTTGTTGAAGATGGCGAGAAGAACAATGAGGATGACTTGGTTCACGAACTGGCCCCAGCCCTGCATCAGAAAAGCCGTGGTGACACGGCGACCACGGTGCAGACGATCTTCACGAGTCGAGATCCTTCCGCCGGAAGAAACACCTTCAAGAGAAGAAGTTGCTGTAATAGGGTACTCGCCACCAACACCGAAACCGTAGAAGAAGAGAGACCAGGCATAACAGATAACCCAGCCTTGAAGGGTAAGACCCCACGAGGCAGTGAGCATGAGCAGACCGATAAACATGATGGCAGCATCCTGAATAAGGCCCCATCGGCGACCGACCCAATCTCCCATAACCTACGATCAGTCAGTATAATGAAATCTACTATATGCAGTAGTAAATAACTGAAGGAGCAGGGATAACTTACACCAACAACAGCCTGGCCAACCATGATACCGATAATTTCAAGGTATGTTACAGAGGCAATCCAATTGTGAGAGCAGGTAGTAGGTTCCTTGCCCCAGCAATCAGGCCAAACGGCTTTGAAGAGAGGCTCAAGATTACCAATAGAGAAAAGGACATACCCCTCAAGACCAAGACCGGCACCAGGAATGACAGCATGGCGGAAGTACCACGAGAAAGGTGATAGAGGGTCCTCCTTGAACATAGACCAAGCAGTCTTGGCCTCCTCCTTGGCAGCATCGTTGTCGACCTTTGAAACGAAGCGATAACGCTGAGCCAGTGGCAGATCAGCCCAGTAGACACCGTCCTCAGTGTAGGAGTCGTCTGGACGGGTTACGTGGCTGAAGATGCGACGCTCATCAGCGGTAGCATATGCGATAGGCTCATCTGAGATATGCTCAGAATCGCTGTCTGGAGGACCGTGCGGGACAGGGATCTCGCCTGGGATCGTAGACTCATGATGATGGTGCCTGTGAACCATTTTGAGAGAAGGCGGTTGGAGCCTCGGGTTGAGATCCAAGTGTGATGGTGAAGGTGCTTAATTCAAGGGGATCCGGCAATTGTGTACGTGGGTTTGTTGTTATGAGGAGGCAGGAATAACTAGGCGGAAGAAGATGAATGTTCCATGCGCAAAGCGAAAATGCTAACCACCAACGGGAGAGAAAAGTTTATTATTAGAGGCAAAGAAGAATTGCCGAGGGCCGCGTTAGATTGGGTAGGGGACAATTGAGGAATTCAGGACTTGGAATTGCCTTGCCTAGGTTGTCTTGGCTCTGGAGAGGAACGGGAATCCAATGGCTTCCAAGGCGCGAGGAAGGGCAGTATTTGAACTACATCACGACCGAGACAGTAGCAACAAGAGCTCGGATATTCAAGACGAGTGTGACGAGCATCTCGAAGAAGCAGCAGCCAGTAAGAAGACGTAAATTAACCTCGTGGGAGAACGTGTGGACGAAAGTCGATCTCTGGGGTCAAATTGGGAGGGTGTGTAGCATAGGATAGCTCCCGTGTCCCGTTCCTTGACCGAAAGCAACTGTCGCCGCCTCGTCCTCGCCTCAGGGACCAGAGCTTGAGCTTTGCGGCGATGTGCCGTACCGACGTATGCGTGGGAGCTGTCGAAACAGAGAGGAAAAGCGGGCTATAGGTTTAGCTCTAGAACTACTAATGTGAGAAACACCAGGGGGTGGGTGACATGGCTTTGGGTGGGCAATGCATGATGAGATCCGCCGACGGTTGGGTCATGTCCTTATCCGTCAGAAGCCGAGAGATCCAGGCCAGATCCTGAGCCACCGACAGCCGATTGTTATAGATATGCGCATCCAATCCAATGTCATTGGCGTCTGAGAGCGCACAATGCAGCGCGACAGCAGGGGATTGGGCATTGTCAAATTCCAAAGTGAACATTGATGACGATGCTAGAAGCAATGACGTCGTTATTTACATAGACTAATGTGCCGTACCGATCAATGGATGAGGCTCACACAATGGAATCGAATCGACGGGAGGCTTGGAGAGAAGCACGTTTTCAACACCGAATCGTAACAGGCTGGAGGATTCAATTCGGACAAGGAAAAACCTGGGGTTCGCTCACCATCTCGAGAGGGCAGCCACGCACGCGAGCAAAAGCGCGCAAGAGACAGGCAGAGACCGCAAAACACCAGGACCGACCCGGATAAAACGGCATCTACGAGACCCGCCTGACTTGTTTCGGCCGACGCCGTTGGCAGGGAACGAGGCCGATCGCTGCTGAAAAACTCGCATCATGGCATTCAAGAGTTGGGAGTCAGGGTCTTGACCCTCTAAAATCGAAAATTTAAATGGATCCTCTTGACCTTCCTCGGCCACTGAGCTTCTGTTGTTTCGATGCGCTCTGAATGTTCGCGTTCCGCACCACTCATTTCACGGCCCGTTTTCTTACTTCTGTGCCTTTTGGTTCAGTTGCCTCCCACCACCTTTGTATTTTATTTCTAATACATAGTTCTTTTGCCTTTCGGTGTCCTATTCCAGACACCGGGAGATAGTTTAATTCATGCCCATCAGTACATATCACGGATATTCGGCTCCCCGGCGCCTGGCTTGTTTTCCTCGTTGTCCCTTTGATACATGTCGACCGATGCCAAGCCTTTTCTTTTCTGCTATTTCCATTTCCCGCCTCGGCGCTGTCGGGAGCCGCAGCTGCGCGTCTCGGCATTGGTGCTCTAAGCCTAATAGGGTAGATTCAGGAAAATTTCGCTGCATAAAAAACTGGAGAGAAGGTACAAAAGTACATCTGGTGGGTCCTCGTTTGACGACATCCACCTAATGCGGAAAGAGGTCGTGTGAGGTCGTCGTGGTGGGATCGACTGGTCCCTCTCGCCTGCCCATGCGCCATGGCCTCGGTCAGTGCAACCTTCCCACACACTCACGACTCAGCCCAACTCAATTCACATGCTGAATCATGCCCTGACCGTGTTTAATCTTGTTGCTTTAAGGTAAAAGCTTAACAAAAGCTTAATTTTCTGCGTCAAAACCAAATTACGTCCCAACCCAACTTAGGTAACTACCTGACATAAACCTGTGAGGTTCCGTGCCAGGGCTACAATGTGTCTGCTCATGGTCTAGAATAGCCGGCAAAAAGACAAATGCCTCCATCGCTGCTAACCAGACCCCGCTTCCACTCCGCAAGGTAGCCTGTTGTCTTTTACGTACTGCATCTGTCGAGTCACTCCCTCAGCTCATCTTGACAACCTTTGTATGTATGAATAGGTAACAGCCTAAGGTAGACAGGCAACCCACCACGAGATGCACTAATACAAAGTCTGACACCAACTAGTCCGCAATCTTATACCGAGAGCTTCTTGTCTGCATCTAGAAACTTGTCGCGTGTGTGACATTTCTCTTTCTCTACCTAGTTCATTTCTTGTATCGGTATTATGTTGCCGTCACTACTGGCCATTGAGTGATGACTTATTACAAGCATAGGCCGTCTATCCGTTACTGACGATGCAGCACTTACAACAACTACTGACCTACCGAAGATTTGTGACAGACAAGTGTCCCAGATGCTTGTCTACCTGGGTACCCTGTGCAAGCAACCACCCTCCTGCTGTATAGGTCCCCCCTCTCAACTTCCCCATCCCTCCCCATTCTGTAATAACCATAACGAATATGCATACTGAGTTGGTGGATAGCACTTCCACAACCCCCTGCACAATTAAACCATTTACTTGGTTGTCATTTGTTGTCGAAGCTGCCTCAACAGATTATTCACTCATGACTACCGACGCCGGGCCATAGTTCTGTTCCAGCTACTTTAATCTTG